TGGGAGGAGCCTGCATCTCTTGAGACATTAACATGGCACTGGTACCTGGATTTGGTTAGGGTCAGTTCGTTAATTTCACATCCTCGCAGCCTCACCCTTCTTCATCCTCTGGTTTTGTTTTCTGGAGTCATATCGCAGCTGTCGGGTGTGTCTTGTTTCCCAGACATCCTCGCCCCACTCTGGATTTAGCGCAGAGCACTGGCAGAGGGAGTTCACCCCCGGCTTATTGGCCTAACTCGGTCACTTGCCACCACCAAGGTGGCCCAGCCCTGCCTCTGCAGGTTCCCTCCGCACAAGCCTGTGACCCAAACACGGTATATCCCAGTACATGTAAGGAATCTCAGGGAGCACGCCTTTCCCAGCTGGCCGTAAGGGATGGTTGGTCCTTGTTCCTTTCAAAACTCTTACTATCCCAAAGTATGAGCTCTTACGAGTCAGTATGTTGCTTATTTAATGTTTCTGGGTTCTACTGTAAAGCAAATCAATAGATGTTTCTACTGGGATATTACTGTTCAAGTACCACCATTAAATCATCTAACTAATGGATTTGTCTTAACTGAAGATTAAAATGTGCATGCTATTATTTATGTTGGGTGTTTTTAATATGTTTTTAGGTAGTCTGATCCCAGCAAAAACACTGGCTTAAGAGCATGAGAATCTGAAGACCTCTGTCTCTTCTAGAAGAGGTGAAGAAGCTAGAAACAGTAACGATAAAAATGTTTGTTTGTGGAGGGACTAATCTGCAAAAAGCATGTGCTTACTGATGATACAGAATGAAAATGAGTTCATTTGCAAATGAAGAAATTGATCAGCTGGAAGATGCTAACGGCCAGACATGACCTTCTTTCTCAGAGCTGATATGTGAAGTGATTTAGCCTTCGGTGGTTTTCCCTATAATTTTCATAAAATTTTATGATCGTAGGAATTGTCACTTTAGGTTAAACAGAAAGATAAGCGAAGTTTTATCTTGAATCTTAAAACTACTGTCCACTTTTTGCAAAAGCTGAAAACATATTGCTTTTAGAAACTCTGTGTTTGAATGAATTCTGCACCAGTTTGCAGCCCTACTGGAGTAAAACTAAGTAAATGAATCCATATTATAGTTTATTTTTATCAGCTTTGTTACATGGGCCATGGGCAAGACTCTGTTCTACTTCCTATTAGGGGCAGGGAGAAGGAAAATCGGGTATTTTCTTGAAATCCCTGTGGAACCCATAGAAATGCAGTACTTTGTCATAGCACATTTTATAAATTACAGCATTTGTTGCTTTAGAATGGCTTTTTTTTTCAATTTCATGTATTTTTCAGAGTCTTGAAATCCTTTGGCCTTTTGCCTGGCTTGCAAAAGGGGGAAGATGATTGCAAAGTGGAAAAAAAAAAAAGGTTATTTTTGTTTTAAAAGTGGGTTAGAGAACAAGATTATTTGTATTAAATCTGTGTGATGTAGGATTTTCCCCTTTCATGAAAAGGAAGCAGAATTATCGCAGCCATTGCTATTTCTCCAGCTAAAGAATAATAAATAAACAACGCAGAGAATCAGTGGATATAATAACTGCATCGTAAATTTTAGCATGCTGTTGGATTTATTTATTTTTTCTTTTTTTTCAACTGAACCTTTATTTCCTGTTTATTCATTGTTTCCAGGGATAAAATAAGGAGGAGAGATGGGAAACCCAGAAAACATTGGAGATGTGTATGTTGCTGTGATTCGTCCAAAAAATACTGCTAGCCTGAATTCTCGGGAATATCGAGCCAAATCCTATGAAGTAAAACTATTTTTTTTTATTTATTAATAATTCTAAAAATAATAAGTCATAGTAAATACATAGTAATATAGCAGAAGAGAAAATATGACGAAAACATTGCTTAAATAATGTCTGTGTATGTCATGTATCTACTCTGCATACCCTTATGGCATTTAAACACTTTACAGTTTTGTAGTGTCTGTGTGTTTCATGTCATTTCAGGGGCTTTTGCCCTGCAGGCTGCGCAGTACAAGAGTGCAGCCTTCTCTTATTCTCTTCAACCTTACTGTTATGGAGGTCATTTTGACTTCATTATCCTGCTCCTCCATATTCAATACTTCCTGAATTTTGTTAATGCTTTTACACTGGTATAATCAATACAAAGATCACACCACCACCCCCCCCCCCCCCCAAAAAAAAAAAACAACAAAAAAACCCAAACAACAAACCACAAGTGTTCTGTACTTGTTTCAGTTGTGCTTAAACTCCTTTGGTTTCATTATTGTTTGAAAGATTCTGTTGCTTGAAGTTCCCATTGAAGGTCAGAAAAAAAAAAGAAAGAAAGTTTTGTTGGAAACTAAACTGCAGGGAGGCACTGAGATAACCCAGAGCATCTTGGATTATGTGTTGGAAGCCACCAAACCAATTTCACCAGCGAATCAGGGTATTAAAGGTAAAAACATTTTAATCTGATTTATGTTTGATAGCTCTATAGAAATATTTTAAAAATTGAATGGGCATGGAAATGTTATGTAAAGGCATGAAATTAGTTTAAAAAAAGAAAGTATGTTTTGGCATTTGTGAAAACAACTTAAGCCAACTATACAGCTAAAACCTTTAATTTACCTTTATTTCCCTTTACCTTCCTGTCTACGCTACTTCTTGACCTCAGACTGAGATTTACAGCTAAACTTCTGGTAAACCAGGTTGAAATGGCTTTTTTATCCTGAATTTCAGCTAAAACTAGTGAATTGATGGCTTCTAAAGCTGGCATAGTTCAGTAGACAGTATCTATATGAAAATGTTTCTGGCATAACTGTATCACTTGCAGATATAATTTGACTAGTACACTTTCTTTTTCGTTGTTGTTGCGTAGCCAGTCTAGCAAACAACCTCACACTTGTGTGGACAAAAATTGTTTTAGCCAGCATGTTTCATTTCCAGGTTGGTATAAACTATACTGACTAAAGCACTTTTTTTGCTGCGTGCCTCATCTCTGCTTTGTAAGTAAGGTTACACTGGGAAGGTTATCAGTGCAGACAGGACAATGCAGCGCTAACAATTTAGAAAAGGAATAGCTGGTTGCATGGTAAAATGTTGTGAGTCGCAGTAACTGGAGTTGGATGAGCTTAACAAAGCTAGCTGAGCAGCAAACGTGGAATAACATAATAGCCTTAATACACATTGAAGAATGCCTAGTACAAACAAAAACTGTGTTTCTTACACAGTTCAGAGAGTTTTAGTTTGACTCATATCGATAGAGGGCCCAAGCATTAATATGCACAGCTTAGTGTGGCCACTGCTAAAATATGCAGTTGAGGTCAGAAAAGCAAACAAAATGCTAAATTCTGTAAGGGTGGAAGGAAGGGTAACATGGAAAATACTGCCCTACCACTACATGAACAAAGCATTCACCCTAACGTGGAATATAGCATGCAGCCCCGTGCTTTCCCATTTTGAAAAGAATCTTGTTTAACGGTGGTTTGGGGGGTGAACGCTATGAAAAATCAGGAGTATAGAAAAGTTGCTATGAAAAAAGGTGCACCGTCACGTCATTTTTCATGTTAATGGGTGTATACATATTTTTTCATATGTATTTAGATTTTCTTAGCTTGCTTTAGATTATAGCTCATAATAATCATAATTTTTTCTTCATAGAAATTAGGAAGATCAAGTCTGGTAAGCTTTGAGATAGCCAGCTCTAGATTTTTTCGTTGTTGTTGTTGTTTTGTTGGCTAATTAATTATTTTGGGCTTTTTTAATACTGTGCTAGGAAAGCGCGTAGTGCTAATGAAGAAGTTCCCTCTTGACGGAGAGAAGGCAGGCCAGGAGGCATCACTTTACGTTGTTCCAACTGTTGTGAAAGGTAATGTTGAACATAATTTCTGAAGTTGCACCCATTTTAGCAGAAGTTCAGTTGAGGGTTTATTAAGACTTTTTATGGGTATGCTATATGGCTTTTTCTGTATTTAGACATTAGAAGCTACATTCAGATGGAAACCTCTCTCTGAATACTTTAAAACTTGAAAAAGTTACTTAAAATTAAGGAAGAAAACTTAGTTTTAACGTATTGCCTTCATTTCTGTAACGATAGCACACTTCTGGTTTAAACTGTATGTATTGGTTTGATTATATTTCAAAACATATGCGCTAACTTGTATAGAATTTACTGAATACAAGTGTAAATAAGACATCCTATGCGTTCAGTGTTGTCTACTCAAAGAATGCTTACTGAAGTCTGCTAATGGTTTTGTTTGAATAAGGACTGGTGAATAAAGTCTTTAAAAGGCAAAGTAAATTGCTTGTCAGGAAAGTATTTTTTAAAAAAGCCTAAAGTAATGTCTTTGTGCTTTTGGGAAAGCTCCTTCATTTTCACCTTAGTGAGAGACCTTAAGGATAAAAAATATCAAATAAAAGCCATTATGGAGTTACCAGTAGCAATAAATACCTCTTCTAGTCCTAAGTCATATTCTTTTTTTCTGGCAATAGTATACATTTAATATTAATTGCTCAGATGAAGCTGATCACACTGATAGAATAGTGATGAACACTTTAAGGTTTTTAAGGCTACCCTGTTGAGTTGTGAATTGTTATGTAAGGATTGTGTGTAATTTCTGTCAATTAGAATTTTGAAACAAAATTAGTTACTCTAGTCTAAAGTTACATTATGCACTCAATTAGTTGGGAATGTGTAACTACAGAAGATGCAGAAGGGAAAATAAGATTCTCCTTCTCAGCGATGTGTCTTCAGAGTATGTTTCCTTTTCAGATAATACAAAATATGCATACAGTCCTGGATGCCCTGTGTTCTACTGTTTACAAGACATCATGAGGGTCTGCAGTGAATCCAGCACACATTTTGCTACGCTTACTGCAAGAATGTTAATTGCCTTGGATAAGTAAGAAATGCCATCATTGAAAATACATTAAAATAGAAGTTAAACAAGAAAATTTGTAGATGTAGCACATAGTTTTTATAGCATTCTTCTGAATAAGAAGGAAATGATTGTGATATCATGTTATTTTCTTCATGTTTATCAGAAACTGAAACCTTGACAACTTATTTCTAAATCTTTTTAAAAAACATCTTTTGCAAACTGAAAAATGGTGTGCTTACAAGTAGCTTTTCAGAAGTTCTTGCTCACAGTGAAGATTTTGTAAAATCATATAAAATACTAATGATTAATCTTGTATAAGTGACATAATTGCCATCTGTAAGAGTATTTGCCAGACTGTAGTAAAAATATCCTGTTAATTGTACACCTTTATGATTTGCATTTAAATTAACCCCCGTGTACAAAGGGAGTGCATATTCCCCAGCCATACAAATTTATCTGCAGTAGAGAATTTACTTTCAGAAAGGTGATTAGTTGTTTAACCAAATGTATAGTAATTTGAAAATTGAGTATGTGAGCATTTTTTGGTCTTTTTTATGTAATCTTAACAAAGAAATACCAGACCTACTTATGTATGAACTTCTTTGCATTAATGAAGTTAGGTGAAACTCTTGGCTAACATGAAAAATTGTAAGTTACAGGCTATTACCAAAAAAGATTCCGTGTGTAAGGGTTTTACGGTTTATTAGCAGAGTCATAATATTTCCAAGTATACTGTTGTGCCAGTTGTTATATTTATTTGCTACTTAATGAGTGCCTTCAGACTCTAAGCTCTGCCTAAGATGTTTTACCAGCCTTACAGTTGTGAGAGAAACCTTGGAAGTACAGTAGAAAATAGTTTATATTGATTATTCTTTATATATATAATCCGAAGCAACGCTTTTCAAAGGTTCAAACTACCATAACTAATTTATCTGCCAACTGTTTACAGAAAATGCCTGAAAATACCTCAGAGAGGCAAGAGTTGTAGCCTCATCATAGCACGATGATCGCAATTTTACAGTTCTCCTTCCCAGCAGGGCTATGAGTAAGTGAAGAGAAAATGGCTTTTACAGCACCTGATAGCTTGGATCCGGGACTTAAAAAATCCAGGCCTAAGCATATGCGTTGAACTGCAGGCCACATTCTGCCATCCTTACACATGGTTCTGGGACAGACAAGGTCCAAGCAGTCTGTCAGTGGATCTGTCATTTCAAAGCATGTACTTACCTTTCTTCTCTATTTCCAGCGTAAATCACTAAATGGAATGTATTGTATTCCAGTAAAGTTCATGTTTACCTCAAGCTTGTGAGAAAATATGGGCAGAAACCTTAAATACAAACCTGGCTTTAGACTCTTAGTTAAAATGTGCCTCGTTCAACATAACACTAAAATAATTTAGTAATTCAGTGAAAATATATTTATCCAAAAATCCTGAGCCCTGTGTTACGTTACATATGTGGCAGGCAAAAATGCAGCAGGTCCACAGTTCAGAGGTTCCCCTCTAGCTCACAGTAAGAGGGCTCTAAAGCCCTCCTATACTGTCAGTAGGAGTGCACTTACAAGAGAAACAACCTTAGCACAGCTTTGTGAAAAGGTGGGTGGTAGCCTGTGTGAAAGAGTCTTGGCAGTTTAGAAACTACCAAAGGACCTTCTGAATTTTCATCATCTCTCCCTAATGAAACACGTGAGTCAGAAGGCTGAAGTCAGCACAGGTGTTGAAACTTCAGCTCACCCTTAAACAAACTGCTTTAAGTTTCAAAATTTGTATGTTGAGAGTAGTAATGCTGGTAAACTGAAAGTAAATGAAGTGGTGACATGTTGGTGTGGTTAGGTGTTCTGGCTATATAACCAGTGTTACTCCTACTTAGCTTTTAATTTCCTTTTCTTTGAGAGTTTGCATCTACAGGAAATGTGTTTGAGGAAATACATTTGCTTAACTATATTTGGTTAAAAAACTTCATGTTTGGAAATTGATTTATTGCTATAAAACTGGCTGTGCAATTAATTTTATTTTTTTAATTAAAATGTGTGGTTATCGTACATGCAACCCTTAATCAAACAAAATACTGGATGAGCATGACCAAAATAGTCGTTTTCTACCTGAAAATGAATTACTTGCCCATTGTCTCCTGCAGGTGGTTGGATGAACGGCACACCCAGTCTCACTCCATCCCAGCTTTATTCAGACCATCTCCTCTTGAGAGGATTAAAACAAATGTGATAAACCCTGCCTATGCTATAGAACCTGGTCAAACGGAGAGCTCGTTACACATGGGCTATACTGCCCTAGAAATAAAGAGTAAAATGCTGGCATTGGAGAAAGCGGATATGTGTATCTATAATCCTTTGTTTGGATCTGACCTTCAGTATACCAATAGGGTAAGAACTATATTTTCGTTTTGTATTTGTGAAACATACATACGTTTTCAATTTGCAGTTCATTCATTTATTTGAGTGTGTGCTTTGTGTTTAATATAATCAGGTTTCTTTTTTGCACACTTAACTGCTAAATGTTTTTTCAAATCCTTACATTTGAACATCATTCTCTTTAATTATAAAATGTTACTGTCATAACTTTGGTTTTAAGAGAATACCTGGCCTGGATAGGGGACTGTTTAGTCCAATCTCAGTAAGATATTTTTTTCAGTTGTGTTTAAATTATGCCTTTGCAGGTTGACAAAGTGGTAATAAATCCATACTTTGGCCTTGGAGCCCCAGACTACTCAAAGATTCAGATTCCTAAAAGAGAAAAGTGGCAACGTAGCATGAGCAGCGTCACAGAGGACAAGTATTATGTTACATTCCTTTTCGTTAACGGATGATTTTGTTTTGTTATGTTACAGTAGTACTTGGTAGACTTGGTCAGAATGAGATTCCTGTTATTTTAGGACTTAATTGTATAAATACATGTTTTTTAAAAAACGTATATTTGAGGTCTCTAAGTACTGAAATATGACAGTTAAAGGACGGATCAAGAAAGGTTTACATTATAAATATTAGGGAAGCATTTCTTAGCATGATGAGTACAGCTGTGGCTTGACTACTGCATGACTAAAATACTAGTTGTATGAATACTAGCACATTTTAGCTGCATGAGCTTCGTTTTTATTCTTCATGTATATCTACAGTTAGTGCTAAGTTAGTGATTTAAAAAAAGTCAATGTTCTCAACTATTGAAATATTTCTGAACTGTGTTTTCCTCCTGTTTCTCCTCTTAATCCATAGGGAACACCAGTGGGTAGATGATTTCCCTCTTCACCGCAGTGCTTGCGAAGGCGACTCTGATTTACTAAGCCACCTTCTGGATAAAAAGTTTTCTGTTAATCAGTTAGATAGTGACCACTGGGCACCTATCCATTATGCATGCTGGTGAGTCAAACGAATATAGTTTTGCTTATCGAATGCATTCTCGCTATCATGATTCTTTAGTGCTAATCATTTATGTAATTTATTATACAGACTCAAAAATGAGAAATCGAAAAAAATCTAGATGTTTTACGCTTTACCTCTGATATATGTTAGTGTTAACCTTCTGAAGAGAAAGATTGCTTCAGGTTTTGAGGTAATTTCAATCCAAATAGTTTCAGAGGAGACCAGTTGTGGAGGTCGTATCATCAAACACTTATCTATTGCCTCTTACCTGTCCTGAAGCATCTGTTCTAATTTCTGTTGGAGACACTGAGTCTAGTTTTGTGTGGTAACTTTTACAGTCTTTGTTGGTTAAAGGCTGTGAGCAGTTTTACAGCACAGCAATAGCTGAGCTGAGAACGTGTTGGTGATGGTTAAGCTTTGAGTAGGAAGCTGGACTAGATGATCTACAGAGGTCAACTGTCTGACTATAATTCTGTGATGATTTAATCTGTAAGTGCTTGAGAGCTTTCCTCAGTTGTTGTAAAAATGCTTCATGCAATTTAGTCTTTATAATAGTGTCTGACGATATGAATAACATGAAAATCAAACTTAGTTATAAAAAACCCCCACACTTATTTGTTTTTTAGTGTTTGTCAGAAAGTTTGCATAAACAGTATACACAAGATTTACCAGTTATCAGCATGAGGCATAAGAGTCCTTGGGGTCCATCTGCATGACGATCAGAAGCTTTACTTTGATTCTCACACAGAATGCTATTTTTTCAAGAAAGGCTGAGCTCTGTTTTGCCATGAATGAATTGTTACAACTACCCAGACTTCGCTAGTTTAAAGCAAGGTTCTGTGTGTCTATAATGAATCCAACAAATGGTTACTAGGCCAATGGTTACCAAAGAAGTGCAAAACTGATACTAGTTTCTACAAACTTAATAACATTCTACTGCCTTTGGTGTCATTTTAAAGGTAAAAACTCTTGAGCATGGAAATACACTTTTCCATTAAAAAATATTTTATTTTACGTTTGTTGTGTCTGTCTGCTTTAAACCTGTCTGCAGGTATGGAAAAGTGGAAGCCACTCGAATGCTGTTGGAGAAAGGGAAATGCAATCCAAATCTTTTGAACGGCCAGCTTAGCTCTCCTCTTCATTTTGCTGCTGGAGGTGGCCATGCTGAAATAGTACAAATTCTACTAAATCATCCAGAAATTGACAGAGTAAGTTCTGCTTGTGTATAGAAATAGCAGTTCAAGCAACAGTTTCTAGCTTGTGTATGTGAAAATTTTGTGTCTGAATCACAATGCGTAAACACAATGATTCTGTTGAGATGACCAAAAATGGTTAAATGTTTTTCATTACCTCTACTTTTCCCGTTATGTATCAATTGAATGTTTGAACCCTAGGATCAAGATTTTAATTATCTCAAAAAATGTGTAAATGTTTACCTATCTCCAGTGAAAACAATGTATTATCAGTGTTTCTGTTTATGTTTGTAGCACATTACTGATCAACAAGGAAGATCTCCACTGAATGTCTGTGAAGAGAACAAACAAAATGAGTGGGAAGAAACTGCAAAACTGCTAAAGGAAGCCATAAATAAACCTGTATGAGTTTTATTTTCTAAATAGTTTTAAGTTTATATTTAGTTTACACATAATTTACATTTTATATTTACATTATTTACATTTACATATATTTACACATGATTTACATTAATTTACATTAAGTTTATATTTAATTTACATTTAATAGTTTAAGTTTATATTTAATTTACACATAAACTTGTAGAGGAGCTGGGCTCATTTATAGCTATTATTGGAAACGTGCAGTATACTCTAATTGTCATTGTAAATATTGACAGACTGATGTTTTGTCTCTTTAAATGTTTCTGCCTATATTTTTTGCTCAAGAAATACATGTAAGACTTTAAAATAGATGTTTTGATTTATTTGTAGTCTACTTTTGATCATACAACCGTTAGCTTGCTTTATGAATTGTCATATGTTGATAAACAGGAGCATTCAGCTGGCTAAATGTGGGCTTCTACGAAATCGGCTTTACATCCGTTAGTCTGTGTAGGCTTCCTTGGCAGTCAGTGGAGATCTAGCCAGGGTAGTAAACAAAATTTATGGTGTGATTCCTCTCATCCTGAAGTAGGTTTAAAATTAGTCAAATGATACAAACCCACTTGTTTCTTTTCTGTGACTTCAGATGCAACGTGTATCTCTGTGGGTAGGTGGCAGTAAACCTGTCAATTTTTCAAGATGTTTGAAATCCTCTTCATTTCACTCTAAATGAATGAATCTAACAAAATAATTAATGAAGGAATTGACCTCCTTTATTTTAAGGACCTTATTATGCAGTTGATCAAATGGCAGCTGCGTGTCTAATGACTCTAAAAGACTAATGCACACATTTTAAACACATTTTAAGTAGATTTCACAGCATAATAGGTGATAGTATGTTGTCAGTTATTGAATTAATACATTAAAATTAATTTTAAAAAGATAGAAATTACTGCAATAGGAGTCACAGTGACTACTGCAGCAAAAATAGACTGATGTTCTCCATTCCAGCCTCATTTTTAGTCAGTTGTTATTTTCTGAGGTGTTCATCTTTTTTTCCAGAAGTTTTTAGGATCATAGTTCTTGACAACTAAGTAGATTGAAGAAGGGAAATAACAAACTCCTGCAACTTTTTTATTCAAGCAGCTGAAACTTTCAGCTCGTTACAGAGATGAAAACAAGATGTTTCATTGATTTATGACTTGTGTGTGAATGCTTTAAGCACCTGATTTACGTTTAAGTACATCTTTCAGGAGGCATACTCTGGGCCTACATGCAATTCAGTGAAAGCTATGGGACTTCTGAAGGGGAAGATGGTGTATGATTAGTAATATTATAGAAGTGCTAAAAGATTTTAGTGAGATTGTATTCTTATTGTACTGGGATCTGTGTAAAAGCTGATGCTTCCCTCTGAAAAATCAGTCTTTTTAGTATAGACTAATGAGGGGAATAATTCATAACCTGCCAGTAATAATGAGGTGAACGTTTCAGGATATGCAAGGCAGCTGAGCCCAAATCCCTCAGGGAACTTTTCAACGCCTACTTGCCTTTGAGTTCAACAGAAGCAAAGTCCTCAAAATACAGTAAGATCTTTCTTGGTAGTTATTCTGGTAGAAAGCACAGTATAAGAACTTGCACAGGACATGAATCAAGCAGTTTTGATAAATAGTAAATATGCAGGAGTTGTGCAATGTTCTTCTTCTCAACATTATAGATGTTGCTGAGTTATGATAAAATTGTTCTCCTTTTCAGAAACACCAACAGAAAGGATTTTAACAAGTTCTTTGTTTAATATGTTTAAATTTTTATGTAGTATGAAAAGGCACGAATTTATCGTATGGATGGGTCATATCGCTCGGTTGAACTGAAACATGGAAACAATACTACTGTACAGCAGATAATGGAGGGAATGCGTTTGTCTCAAGAAACTCAGCAATACTTCACTATCTGGATCTGTTCTGAGAACCTCAGTAAGTAACAGGGAAGATTGTTATACTTGAGAGGTTGTCATAGTTTTTTTTATTTCTGCTTGCTTTTAGAAAAAAAAATAGGAAAATAGGAAATACGTTCTCTGACAGTTCTGTATTATCCTCTTTCTGTCAACTTTTAATGCCATCCTTCAGGAGTTAATTTGTATCTAGAGTGTCTGTTAATACACTGTGCCTCTGCCAAAGACTCTAATTCCTGTAGATCTCATTCTTTGTATATTTTGCACAGGGAGTGAAACCACTAGATGAACTCCCAGCCTTTACACCCTGATGTCTCCAAACTGCGCTTTCAGAGCTATAGCGAGCTTCTCCATTTTAGCCATCGTTTTGGGTACCACCATTAGGTCTGACTCTGTATCACTGTGGCATCTAGAATGTATTTCAACTGGAAAGATGAGGCTAGTCCAGATCACCTTTCTGTTATAAGGCACCCTGGCTGTCTTAGTCCTTACTGTTAACTTACCCTGATTGTACATAGCTATGGGACACATTACAATGTATTTGCAAAGCACAATTCAGATCTGGTAGGATACTGTGTTGAAAGTACCGTTAACACAGAAGCTTTGCATTTAAACTTTTATTTACTGTCAGCCTTCCACTACAGTGGCATTGTTACTTTTTTTTTTTAATCTATATTGCAGGAAATCTTTTCTTCATTCTTTTTGAATCTTTTTCTCCCAATGTCATGCCGTTTGCCGTTTTGCTTTGCTGTATGTCACATGACTACTGTAACCCTCAGTTAAACATAGATGTTACTGTCTGGAAGAGAAGGAAGTGTTTGAGTGTTGAAGTCTTGCTGCTTGTGCTTTTTCTAAATATATGTCATGTTTTACTCAAATCATTGAAGTATTACCCTTGTATTTGATGGGAAGAGCTCACTCATACATTGTTTAAAACCAAGTAGTTCTCTAGATAATTAGCCCAAGTTTGAAAATGAGTTAGCTTCTGATTTAGGACTTCAAACAACTAATGAACAAGTTTCATTATAAAATGTATTGCTTGCAGTTTCTGTACAACTGTAAAGACCATAGTTTTCTTGTTTGTAGGATGAATAATGGTCTGTGTTTGAATGTAAGGTGGGTAAGCTGAGTGAACAGATTATTCTCAGTGAAAAGACGTTGCACTATAACATATAGAATCATAGAATCATAGAATGGTCCTTTGAAGTTTTACATACTATGTGGAGTGTCACAGTGTAAAAGCCAGAGCAGTGAGGATGAGGCAGATACAGCCTTCTAGTTCCTCACTACTTGAAAACAGACAAGCGGTAATCACAAAGAGAGGCAGGGTAGGTGCATGAGCGTAACTGAAGCCATGGACTGTAGTACAGAGTAGGATTGCAGTCGGAAGTATTGATTCTGTATTGATTTCTCAGCTCTCATGTACACAGGAGAACATGAAACATTGAATGACTGTAGTGTGTTAAGAGTCAAGATGTTTTACACATAAAAAAGGAATGTCTGTTCTGAAAAGTTTATGGGTTTTATGTATCCAAAAATGGGACTTAATAGCTGCCTTCCAGTACCTGAAGGGAACTTACAGGAAGGCTGGGGAGGGACTTTTTACAAGAGTGTCCACTGATAGGACACGGGGAAATGGGTTTAAGTTGAAGGAGAACAGATTTAGATTAGATCTTAGGAAGAAATTCTTCAGTACGAGGGTGGTAAGACTTTAGAATAAATTGCCCAGAGAAGTTGTGGATGCCCCCTCCCTGGAGGTGTTCAAGGCCAGGTTGGACGGAGCCTTGAGTAGCCTGATCTAGTGGAGAGGCGTCCCTGCCCATGACAGGGAGGTTGGATTAGATGATCTCTAAGCTCCCTTCCAGCCTATGCCATTCTACGATTCTGTGATTTCTAAGAGCAGCTGTATCTGTGTTTTTCTGTCAAAAATAACATTTTCGAACTTTGTATTTCTCCCATAATTGAAACGACGGTCTATAATGTTTTATTATTGTGTTTGAAAGTCTGTCTTGGCATTCCATTACATTTTTAAATACAACCTCACTCTTGAGAAGCTGAAAATAACAAAATTTCATCACTAGTGCATTTAGTGAACTGATTCTGAGTGTTTTGTCAAGAAATACATATTTTCAAAACCTTTTATATGTAGCATTTTAGAAAATACTGGGAAAAATGTTTTTTAATGAGTCCTCACTTTCAGATACTCTGGTTTTCATGCAGCATTTAATTGTGTGCGTGCACATGTGCATGCATATATGCATCTATGTGTATATTTCTGTTTGTTTATTTAGAAATAAAACCTGTTTTTTTTTCCAGGCCTCCAACTGAAGCCATATCACAAGCCGTTGCAGCATATTAGAGATTGGCCTGAAATATTCACTGAACTGACAAACTTGGATCCTCAAAGGGAAACTTCGCAGCTTTTTCTGAGAAGAGATGTGAGACTTCCACTGGAAATAGAAAAAAAGGTCTGCACTTGGAAGTGATAGCATGAAGTCATGGTCAGAATCAGAACACTTTGACCATCAACACTCTGTTTTTAATGACTGTAGTAATTTCCAAACTTATTTAAACTGGACCTCTCCTCTCCTTCTCTGTTCTGCAATAGTTTGAGTCTTCAGGTTCCTCCCTCCCTCTCTCATTTCTCACCTCCGAAACTGTTCATTTTATCATGTCTGTGTGCCTCAATCTTTATCTGTCTGTCATACAGCTAAAACAACCTGCCCAATTTTTTTTCTTTTCATTGTGCTGTGATTTTTCAAATATTTAATTGGCCAATTTAAAGGGGATTATTCAAACATATTATTCAAAATAAATTCATGTGGGAAAAACCCACAGATGTCAGTATTTCTGTGAACTTTTTGATTGGGCATGGTGTGCTAGTCACCTTTAATTTCTAAGTGTGTTAGATCAGTGAAGTCTTGAATTAATTCAATGAAAATGTGTCATTTTTTTCTATTACAAAGCTTTACTTAAAATGTACACTTCAATCAGGATCACACCTTTGTCTTCTGTCTCTGAATCAGAGAGAATTGTATTTATAGTTTCTAAGCTCATTTTGTTTTACAAAGAAATCATAGTATTTAAATCTTTTTAACAGATCGAGGATCCATTGGCTATTCTTATCCTTTTTGATGAAGCCAGATATAATTTACTGAAAGGTTTCTATACTTCACCTGATGCCAAGCTGATCACACTGGCAAGTCTGCTTCTACAAATTGTCTATGGAAATTATGAGAGCAAGAAACATAAACAGGGCTTTCTAAAGTAAGTATGCGTATTTAAAACTTAAAATTGTGGGTTTAGATTAAGTATTTTTAGATAGCACTTACTATGGAACTCTCAAATTTTTGGTATGGTATGTTTGTTAGTTTTCTCTCTCACTGAGCTCTAGTTCAGAGTAACCACATAAGCCTCGTAGCATTAATAGAAGCTGGACATGGTGTCTGAAAAGTATATTAATCTTAATTATTGCAGTCCCAGGCAGAAGGATAGAGGTTCTGTATTCTGTAAGTCTATGCTGAGATACAATAATACCAAAACAAGTAACAGTATTCATGTGAACGAAGGGTTTTGACAAGACTGGGACTTTGGACAATGCTGAAGAAACTGCTGACTGTGTCCAGTTAGACTAACTTCTGGGATTAGCTTTCCTCCCTCTTTTGAAGAGGACAGACCACACAGAAATATTACTTCTGTTCTCTCATTTGAATGTGAACTGCTATACTAACTTGGTCAGAGACATAGCACTAGTAGGTCTCTGCCAAATGGTGCTTTTCTCTCCCCTTCTCTCTGCTTGCCAGCACAACAGTAGCTGAGCTGAGCTCTTCTGGGATATGGCTTTTTCTTCCCATGTACATTTCTACAGCAGTATGTGAGCACATCAGGATTCCAGTTCTGTACTGTGTGCACCTTCAGTCTGCCCCCTGCCATCTCCACCTCAATTCATTGATGTAACAGAAGCTGTGCTATTCTGGAACACTACTATACTTCTCATCTCATTCACAGCACCAACTGAGTTGTCCTGTCTTGCTTTTTTTTGGTTGTATTCTCCACCATTGGTAAATCAGGGTGCGATTTCTGCTACATTTACACTGATCCAAGTGTGGGCTGCCTCTGAAAGGGCTGGCTGTACTGACTGCACTGGTTTGTTCCTTTCTCTTCCTTCTGTTAGGTATAGAGGCTGTACCATTACAGAGTAAGCCAGGTGAATGAGCTCAGTGACTGAAAAACTTTTGGGTGGGCTGTTCAGTAGGTTCAGCTGTTGGCCCATCTTGTCCTGCAGTTGCACAGTTGGCAGATCAAGCATAAGGAGAATTAGATTTGAGTGAGACTGCCCACCTGCAGGATTGTGCAGTTAAATGCAACTGGATTTAACACAAAACTACCCCCACTGAATCCCAGCAGCTGCAGGGCGTCATTCCTTTCCACACTGGTGCGGATGAGCAATATGACTATGAGTTGATTGTGCTCAAAGGAAGTGTTTGACCCTGTAGACAGGACTACTTCCAAAGATAGTTTGGGCCAGATAGAAGAGCCTTGAGGGCATTTGGGCATGCTTGCCATCCATATTCAAATGAAGGTGTTGAAAAATATCTCTGTTCTTCTTCAAATAGATGGAAATATTTATATTCCGAACTTTTTTGTGGTAGATATAAGTTTTTATCAAAAGACTGGTCATTTAAAAATTGTATCCAGGCTGTTGTTTGTATGAGAGTATCCTTGACCTTAAAGATCTGGATACGTGTCCTTTGCAAGGTTTTTGATCGGTAGATGACATGTGCAGTTACTGACAAACATAGTTTAAAAATGACTGAATAGTCTCAAAAACCTAGTGATGCAACCTAGATTAATTGTACATAAAAACAAGCTAGCAAAGGCTTCCTTTTACTGTTTGTTGTTTGGTTGTGGGTTTTTTAAAGGCACTTTATATAAATAGCTTTGCTTTCATATCACTTAGTGTCTAACTTTCATGTGGAACTTAATGGGCCAAGTCCTTGGTGGTGCTGAATACAATAGTGAAGGGAAAGGCACATATAAGTTGTCATCTCTTCTGAGTATTTAATATTCTGGTATAAATGACAGTTTGTATATCATTTTGGCTTCTAAACTGGTCTATAATGAAGTAAGTGTCGTGTTTTGCTAGCTTTTTCTCTCTGTGCCATGTCTGTGATGTATAACTCAAAGCTGGATCTCCATTAACTGAGAATTATGCCGTATCTTAGAAAGCCTTAGCTTACATTTCAGGAAAGCTGCTCACCTGATGAGGCAAGATAGAGTAGGAGCTGACTGTCTAGCTCAATATGTGACTTGAAGATACAAACTGGCAGACATTGTTCTTTCTCCTTACTTTGTTTAGTGAAGAAAACCTTTTTCTGCTTTGTTTTTCTCTTAGTGAAGAAAACCTTAAATCTATAGTACCAATCACTAAACTAAAAAGTAAAGCTCCTCATTGGACAAACAGGATACTTCATGAATACAAGGTGAGATAAATAATCACATAATAGAAAATCTTGTCTTAAACATGTTTTGGCTGTTTGGTTGTCAGTTAATGAACAAAAATACTGGAATATGAAGCTAGAAATGTGGATGTTCTGAATTTTTGGGATGGGTTGTTGGAATGCTGTTTTTCTTGTACGATTACAGTCGATCCGTTTGTTAGAAGTAAATGTAATTGTCATCTGATAATTTATCTTCAGTGTTACTGTGTATTGGGGATACTGCCAATTCAGGCGTACATGTAGAAAAATTTACTTTGACGTGTTTTCCCCTCTGCTTGTAGCGATGGATCCATAAAGTCTTTTTTGCCAGCTAACGTGTACATTAGGGATATGATAGTGCTGCTGATGCATGCGTGTGCACACACACAAACTCCTTGACTAGTCAGTTGAGCAAAATTTTTAAATGTGGACTTGGGCTGTTTCTGTAAGAGACATCTAAGTGAAGGGCTATGGATTCCAAACGGGGTCAGAGGAAACGGAAGATTAAATTCATGAACTTCATAAAAAATTGTAGAAAAAGTGAGGTGTGTTAGAGAACTGTACTGGCCAACATGCATCACTAAAGGTAGCTGACAGGAAGCACGGCAGAGAATGGAACCCAGGGAATGGTTCCAGGCCTTGCCCCTCTTTTGAGATGAGGTTACTCAACCATAAACTTTCTCTTGGTGCCTATGCCTTTTTTTTGTCAGAAACCAGCAGATCATTCCTGTTCTTCATAAAACGGATGATGGAGGGGATGATGATGGTTTTTCTAAGATGATGGTATAGCAGAGGGTATAGCAGAGTAGTCTCTACTCTTCCTTGCACCAGATAATCTAAGAATAAGCATAGCTTTCTTGACTTCTGCTCTTAGGTCATTATTTTGGGGTGTGGGGTATGGAGGAAGGGGAAAGGAGTTGCAATCTTTTGTTCTTAAGATATTAATATATTTTACATTTAAAAAATGGCTGTGTAGAATTCAGATAAGCCGTAACACAGGGTGTGGGTCCGAAGAGGTTGGTCCCATCCACCACACCCGCAGTCATGGCTCTCGAACTGTTGAAGAGTGGTGTTCTCTCTTGTGCCTGTGCCTTCTCATCTCATGCATTGCCCAGCCAAGTTTTTGTTTGTTACTTTACATCAGCCCGTTTTGAGGTGGGAGCATTCTAGCGACCCTTTGTTGTGACTGTTTCACTCTACTGAAGGGGAAGAAACAGAAGCCTGTCTCATTCTGAATGAGAGCTCAACTAAAGAAATCTGCACCTCTGTTTTGCTTAGAAAAAAAAAAAAATCCATGTTTTTTGGGAAGGGTTACTTGCTTATCTTGCCATGCCTCATGGGACTGGACCCCTTAAAGGAGGAAGAATGCTTAGTTTTAAGGATCATGGTGTGTTTATTGTCAAATGGGTGCATAGCTGCTTATCCCTGATGGGTCTGACATACTTCCGAGAGAGGAAAGCTTGTGGGACCTGCAGAGGTGAGGTGTCTGTGGCACATACAGGTATCTGATTTCTGCCTCGGTCTCTTTTGGCATTTGATCCTTTCTGTGACTCTAGGGTTTAATGTAAGTGTAGGAAGAGGGTTGCTGGAAAAGCAGTTTGAGAATACTAGTTTAGTGGGAATTCCACTGAATAGTGTTTTTTCTTCAAATAACCACAACTATTTGGGAAGACTTGTTGATTGCCATTGTTCCTTTGTTTCTAGAATCTCAGCACCAGTGAAGGTGTAAGTAAAGAGATGCATCACCTTCAGCGCATGTTCTTGCAGAATTGCTGGGAAATTCCTACTTACGGAGCAGCTTTTTTCACAGGACAGATATTCACCAAAGCAAGTTCAAGTAGCCATAAAGTCATCAAAGTGTATGTGGGAGTAAATGTAAAAGGTCTGCACCTCCTCAACATGGAAACAAAGGTCAGCTTAGGTGGACTGCCAATGATAACTATCAAGTTTAATTTCATTCTCTTAAATTCTTTGTGCTGATAGCAATTTCTATTAACTATTTGGTTAAACTTGACTGTGAAGATTTCAAAGATTTTAAGATCTTTGTAAGGCACTACTAATAGAAAGCTTTGTATTTTTCCACTTGACTACTTTATAAGCTACAACTAGATTGTGGAACATACTCTTCTAAGTCGGAATCCTGTCTAAGGAAAGTTCAGTTTGTAAGTATGGAGAATATTTTCAGAGTGACAGTTTCCTACGTTTCATTGTAGGCTTTACTCCTCAGCCTAAAGTATGGCTGCTTTATGTGGCAGTTGGGAGATGGAGATACATGTTTTCAAATCCACAGTCTGGAAAACAAAATGAGCTTTATTGTGCATACCAAACAGGTAAGCATTATTGTTTTTCATCCTTTATGTTCAATTTTTTTTCCTCTTTTTTTCTCTTCTCTCTTGAGATTTGACCACCCTTGTACAATGTAAAAGAAGACCAAGCCAAGCCCCCACAAAAATGATCTTAAAACTTTCGTTTTAGTATTTGAGAGTGTTTGGTTGTTTTCCTAGCATATGAAGCCTTTAGGGTTCAAAATACATAAAATACATCTGTAATAATTAGGGTAAAGTGTTTGGGTTTGTCTTTAAATGGAAACTGTCTGTTGTACGTGCCCTACCCCTCAGACTCTACGGACAGTTCCAAATATGATGAGAAGCACAGAGTTAGAGCTGGTAACTTTGCTGTCAAAACTTGTGGAGTTTGGATAAAACTGATGATCTGCGAAGGCAGTGTTATAAAGCAACTTCTCTGCAGTTGCTACCAGCAGCTTTTGATAGTGTTTATGGATGGCTGATGGAACATGCTCGTTTTACCCGTAGTCTGCATCAGTGGTAATACACCATGTTAAAATGTGTTGTGACGGAATTACAGCTTTGAGGATCTTGCATACTTTAGCTGTAGTTGCTTTTGATTCTTGTATGTTAAGGTGGTTATAGAGGAAGTGATTGAACATTTTGTGATAGCTGAGAAAAATCTAGCTTTTATTTTCCTTATTTCTAAAATGATGCAATTCTAACTTATTTTTTATCTACTTGGCATTTGTCATGTACTTAAGTTAACTGTGTCATAGTTCCGAAATGCTGATAGAATTTCAATGCATACCTTTATATAGGCAGCTCTTGTCGTGAAACTTCTGATGAAATTAAATGGCCAGTTAATGCCAAGTGAAAGAAATGAGTGATGGAAACGAACAGTAGTTACAAAACAGCATCATATGCCGAAGCAAAAAACAACTTATTTCTCATCATAACAGAAGACTTCCATGTACATTAATTTTACACAACGGAAAAGTCAATTTGTACATTTTTTTAACTTTGTACAGAAGCTGCATGGTTTATTTTTTTAAAAAGTATACAACATATCTATTATTTTTATATATATTTTTGTGTTTCATATATAAGCTATTGTAGGGCTTGAGCTTAATCAATAAAGCTAATGAAACATAAATGGTTTACTGAGTTGGATGAGCATGAATCAAGTAAGGCTTTTGTTCCCAGAGGACTGTGGGACCACCAGTGCCATTACGCAAGTCTCAGTTAACCTATTCACTTTTCATGTCATTCTGTGGAACATCAAGGAGATTGTATATGTTACAGTATTTTGTAGACACACTTTATTTTTAAGATATTGGTGATAAGTATGCTTAGGAGACCAGTTAGACCTTCGAGCAACTATGTTTGATAAAACTCTTGGGTGTTTTTTGGTTTCTGACAAACGTTAGAGCTGGCTTTATTTTTACTCTTAACTTTTTCATACTTTGTATTCATATTTATTCTAAAATATTGCATGAGGATGTCAAAAGGGAAATACTTTAAATCACTCAAAAGCCATATTAAATGTTTAGCATGCTTGTTTTGGGGAAAAAACAGGATTTTTACTTTTGCTGTGCAATATAAAATGTGTATATGGAGGAGGGGAGATAGAGATTTACAAATGAATCTTACTCAGAGGACTTCAGAAAGTTTAGTAACTCTTACCCTGGATTGCAACACATCTGCAGTAAAGAAAACTCATATAGGAGGTACCAAGTTATTTCTGTTTAAACTAATTTTCCTACTGATTTCTTACTTCAGTTTCTTGAGGCTACAAGCAATGCAGGATGCAGGAATAAAGATTTGTGTTGCAAGAAAGTCGGATATAGTTTGTAAGCATTCTGCCTACTCTTTGCAGAGTCAGGTTTGGGTCTCAGCAAGTTAAGCCTCAAGTGTAAGGCAGGACCCTATGCAGTCTGAAACATAGCCTTGTATGTTAAAATAGTATCTGTAACACAAACCTTTAAAATTTCTGGTTGTATTTCAGGGTTTTAAGTGCACTTGACTATTTCTTCCGTGTAAACTGCATGCTAAACCAGTGTGCAATATTTTGTAAAAAGTTTTTAAAAAAATAAAAATCAGCGCTTGCCTCTAAGTTTTCAAATAAAAGTTAAAATGAATGTTAGGAACTGTACCATTGTGTACTAACTTTACTCATACCTTACTACTGATAAGTGCAGTTTAAGAAATTAAAGTAGTAAGCAGTTAAAAAAAGGGAACAGGAGACTTTTATATTTTGTAATCTTCTTAGTAAGCTATACTTTTCTACTTAAACTTCACTGGCATAAATAACAGTAAATCTTCATGGATTGTTATATTTTATTTAAAGTAAATAATGCAACAGTCAAGTCCTTCGTAGCACATCCTTGCTATCACTTGGCACTGGTATCAGAAATACACTTCTCTACATAGCACTTTGTTAGAAAACTAGAGGAAAAATGTTAAAATGTGTGTCAGTTGCATATTTAACAATACTATTAATATGCCTTACTGCTGTATAGTTCTTTCTGCTAAATTCTTATTTATTACTACCTAATAAATTGTTTGCAACAAGTCATGTTTGTTGTTTTTATTGTCACCAGCATGAAAGTGCCACCTAGTGTCTTACCAAGCAGGTGTTCTTTCCAAAGAGCAGTATTTTGTAACACGCTCATCTTTGCAAGGTATGAAGGAAGATAACGGGAGAGGATCATAGGGGCGGTCCCATCGTGACTACCAGTTCGGGTAGTGCACCTTGGAAACTGCTCAGGAATTCATCAGGAAAACTGGAAAATGTTAGTCATGGCAAACTAGAAACTTGTAGATTGTGTGTCAGTGGAGTTGTTTAGTAGTGAGAGCCCGGTTACACAGTCCTAGAAGGCTCCTGGCACCTGAGTAGGTGGGCGTTTCAACTGTGTTGCTGGGAAAAGGCAGGCGTGTACAATCCTTTCATCTAAGAGTGGGGAAATGTAAAATTGCAACAGAGAGAAATCCAGCGCTGTAGAGGCAGACCACTAGCAATAAACCTTTCTGTACCAAACAAAAAAAATTACAATGAGCTACAAGAACGGCAAGTCTGAAGATTATGCCTTGGAGCAAGAGATACTTGGCTCAACTCCTATAGCTTATCTAACAAGCATCGTTTTTTAAAAAGTGCGTAACTGTCTAGGAAAGGTTTGAGAGTAGAATACTCCAGCCAGGCAGCGTAAGGCAAAGCAGCAACTGAAAATTTAAACAAGAGGCGAGAAGTAGCCCCGTGTCGCATTGGGTGCCTCTCGCCCTGGTGAAGCCAATGTGCGTGATCTGAGGTTGACCAGTAGGACAAATTGTGGCAAAACTCAAATCACTCACAACTCCGTCTCCAGCCTTAAATTTACAGCAGTGTGACAGAGCCAGTAGGAGTTTCCCTACCATCTTTAGCTCACGGCTAGATACGCTTCAGAAAATAGGCTGTTAACTGAAAAAGTGCAGATACAGGCTCAACAGAAACAACGTACATGGTTTGCAAAGGTCCTGCTTGACCTCAAAACTTTTATTAATACTGGGTAAAGCTATTATAATAATTTTGCACAACTTTACCCCATCAGCAGAAAGCCTTGTATTAAAGGAACTAGGAAAAAATGTAGATCTATTCAAAGGATTCATGTTTGAAGACTTACAGAGTAAGATGGTATAAATCTGCGTGTAAGAGGAGAGGAAAAGACAACTAATACCTTTGGCTGGTCGACTGGCAGTGAAGTAAAGTTGGGAGAATACTGTTCGTGATGATACATCACTAGTAGCAAGAGAACAAAAGTTTAACGTAGTAAATTGAAGCAGGAAGAATATGCAAACAGAGCTCTAGAGAACTGTGGAACATCCACTAAGCTGAGCAGTGCCTGTTGTCTGAGAGAGGTCGGGCTATTCTATGAAACGTCAAGCGACAAATCACACACTTTTATGTTCTGTGATCTGTAGTCTGTTCTGGAAAAAACAAGCTATTAAAGTAGCAAGCAGTGCAGTAAAACAATTCATTTTTTGGGGTAAACAGAGAAGTGGGAGAGTTCAGAAATGTGGAAGAAGTCTAGATTTTTATCAAGATCTCTTACAATTCCTAGCTCAGTCTACTAATGTTAAAATGTATAATTTCACATGGGTTTCATACTTACAGTTTGATTTCTTAAAAGATAATTACAAGAATCAATTAGCAACCCAGAAAAACAAACAATGTCTCTGGAGAAGGAAGAAGATGAAATTCCATGTGGCCTAAATACAAAAGGACTAAACAAAAACTTTCCTGACATTCCAGTTAATGATGCCAGGAAAGACTCATTACATGCATCAGAGAATCCTGAAGTAGCCAACCTAACTATGAGTGACATTTCATACGAAGTTTCCTAAAGCAGCTGGCAATGAGGAAAGCCATAAAATGACTGAAAACAGATCAAGAAGTGATTTACCTGAGAAAAGGTATGAATGAGAATTCTCAGCTGAGATAAATGCTGTCACAGTGCCTCAAGGTGTCTCTGAAACAGCTATAAGAACACACACACTACTTAACATCAGCTGAAAAAGATACTGGAGAACTAAACCTAACCCTTTCTGGGTTAGAAGCTGGAGATGCCAGACCAGACATATTACAGCAGCAGTGAATCCTGAAAGCGATGCAAATGGATCACATATATATTGCCTGAAGAAAAAGATGAGAATTTCACACTTAGACTAAATGATAAAGGACTATGGAGCACGCCTCTGCTCAATTTTGAAAACCAAAATTTAAAATGTTTGCTCTTACACAGCAACGAAATAAAAACATTGCATTCAAATATAGGTAATCTAACTAATCTGGAAATCCTGTTACTTGAAAGAAACAGGCTGACTCTGTTGCCACCAGAAATATCCTTGCTTCGTAAACTGATGGTATTGAATGTCAGTCACAAGCAGTTATGTTTCCCTAAAGAACTGTCAAAGCATGTAAATACTAAGAAACTCTTTTTCCCACTACAACATTGATTAATTTCCTTTTGCATTGGAAAGCCTTGAAACTTTACAGCTTGCAGGCAACAAACTAAAAACTTTACTAGAGGCTGTAGTTGACGTGAAAAACTTCGAGGTATTCAACATTGACTCCACTCAAATCTCCATACTCTGAAGGGTTCTCTGCTACCTTGCTCATCTAGTAAAACTAAGAATATGTAAGAACTTGATTCAGAGTTTACCAAAGGATATTAAAAAGCTTAAGAAACTACAAGAATTTTCAATTAGTAACAATAAGCTTATATTTTCACCTGTGCAGCTTTTCCTGTTGACAAAACTAAAAGTACTCAGAGTTGATGATAACAATTTGGAGTTTCTTGCAGATAAAGTGGAGAATTTATGAGAACTTAGGTTTTCCTTGCAAAAAAATTATTCAAAAGCGTTACAGATAATCATTGAAACATCTCAGTATACATAATAATCAGTTAACCCAGCTTCTTGCTAATATTCACAGACAAACATTTAAAGGAGTTTTCTTTAAGTAGATACCAACTGGACTCACTGGATGAACAAATATTGCATTTAAAAGACCTCTCCAAAATAGAGTTGTCTGGAAATGCAACACGATACCTTCCCGTTGAATTAAAAAATTGTGTATGGATAACCAAAGCTGGCCTCAGCAATAATGAGCTCTCTCAGTTTCCAAATGCATTGTGCACTATTTGATCTTAAATCCTAAGTCTTAGTGGCAACACTGTTTCAGAAATAATACCTGGAATTTCTGACAGTAAAGATCTGGAGCATCTAGAATTAAACAGTGTCCTCGCTTTCTACATGCTTGTGCAGCCTTACAAAACTGGTGTACTTGGATAGAAGTGAGAATTAAATCAACAGCATGCCAGCAGTGGTGTCTGAAATGAAGGCTCTCCGGGTACTGCTGTTACATCATAAGAGTTTGACTCATTTCTCAAGAACTGTGTTCTTTAAAGTGTTTGAAAACACTCGACATTTCAACTAATCAGATAAAGAGTATTCCTTTACAGATTAGGAATCTGGAAGTGATCAAAGACCTAAATGTATCAAACATTCAGTTTGCATCTTTCCCTTATGAAATACAGAATCATAGAATCATATAATTGTTTGGTTTGGAAGGGACTGTAAAGATCATCTAGTTCCAACTCCCCTGCCACAGCCAGGGACACCTTCTACTAGACCAGGTTGCCCAAAGCCTCATCCAACCTGAACTTGAACACCTCCAGGGATGGGACACCCACAACTCCTCTGGGCAACCTGTTCCAGTGTCTCACCACCCTCGTTGTAAAATGAGTCATATGTCATCTTTCCTCACTGGAGACATCAGCAGCGTGTCAAATGAATGGGTTGAAGGTAAGAGAACATTTGCTTTAGGTAAGAAAAAATTGTTTTGTTGCAAAATTATTATTAATAGACTTCCTCCTAACAGATGTAAAAGCTCCTGTGTTTGAATACACCTAGAGCAAACAAAGAGCAGAAAAACAGCTTCTAATGAGGCAAATATATGTACGTATTTACCTATTTTTAATACTAGAATTGGTCAAAAATCTCTTAGGATGCACTTTTAGTTAGAAATACTAGATGTGAACTTACTTTATATAGTGTTATTGAAATATATCTTGGGGTGATATTTTGACAATCAGACTGATCTGAAATAGACCATCTATTTTTTATTTTTCTACTACTGTTAGGAATGTAGGTATTTCCTATCCTAATGGATATCAAGAGACAAAATGACTAGCTGGAATTTGGTAGACAAGCCTGCCTCCAAGATGCCTCTCTGTGAAATGAACAAATCCTTCCAACTAGTGTCACACTTCTTAAAATTAGCTAGTGAACTTTCACTAAATCAAACAAGAAAATATTGGATCCCTGATTTCTCAGAGCAGAGAAAATGGCTTCATATTTCTAAAATCCAGAGTTTTGTGGTTTGGGTTTTTTTTTGTTTGTTTGTTTGGGTTTTTTTTATACTAAGGAACAGAGCAAAACAATCACCTGATGAGTTAGGCATTTAAATATCTCTCTTCACCTGTCCTGGTTTTAGCTGGGACAGCGTTAGCTCTTCTTTTTAGCAGCTAGAAGAGCTCCGTGTTTTGGTTTTACTCAGAGGCTCGCTCTGAGAAGAATGTTGATAGCAAGCTGATGTTTGTGGTTGGGCGTGAGACTCCAAGGACTTTTCAGTGTGCCGGAGTGCAGAAGCACAGCGGGATAAGGGGGGAGCATAGCTGGGACAAGGGGGCCACAATTGCCCTTGTGATTTGTGGTGGAACTTAAGACTGAGGGCCAAACTGGCCAACTAGTATTCCATATCATGCAGCGTCATGCCCAGTATAAAAGTGAGGGTCAGCCGGACAGAAGGGCTTTTGCGCTTTGGCTCTTTCACTGCTTTTGCTCTATTGCCTTTTTTCCCTCTCTCTCCCAGTACTCCCACTCTCGGAGTACTCTCTCTCTCTCTCTCTGCCCCTCTCTATTTTGGGGTCTCACGTTCGTCTGGGATTGCAGCTTCGGGACGAGACGGACTTCGCATAAGAGGGGGTGGTGAGCATCTACCCTGTGTATTACTTATCTGTATTAAATTGTTCTTATCTCAACCCACGGGTTTCCCGTTTCTCCTTTAATTCTCTTCCTCATTCCTGGGGCTGGGGGAGGGTGAGTGACTGGCTGTGTGGGGTTCAGTTGCTGGAGCGGCCTAACCCACGACATCACCAGAATTTGCAAAATCAGTATTTCATACTTGATTTCAGAAAAGGCTTATATTTCTTTATACGATTTCGAATGTGGTTATGATCCTTTCCAAAGGCTGCCTTTCTTCAAACCCAGGAGCAAAAAGTATGTGATCTTATGTCCATTTCTCAGAGAGCTATAGCTTTAGTTTCCAAAATAATTGGAGAACAGTTGAAGTTCCAAGAAGAAAAATAAAAATTAGAAAAGGCCAAAGTAAGAACAGAACCAAAAAGAATTGCATGCTTCAGTTCCTTGTGGCTGAGGAAAACAGAAAAAAAAATCAGAATGTTCTGAGAGGGTAAAATTTTTCATTAATGATAACAATGACCAAAAGAACTTCTACTAACGCTCCAGCTATGGAGGTATTATTTTACTGCATGATTCTTATTGCCTTTGTATTATCGTGTCTAAAAAGCTTCCCTGCAAGTTTCTGTGCTCAGCATCCATATTTTTATTGGAAAATACCAAATTAGCTTCCAGTAGAATCAAAGGTCAGAAGCTTTTATTGTTGGAATTAAATTATGGAATGTTATTTTGCCTGCAGAAAAGTTAGCTTTTAAACTTTTTGAAGAAGAGTGAAGTGTTTTGTTTCTTTATCAGTTCACTAAAATTCCAGAGGAGCTATCTAAACTGGTTTGCCTCAGGGAACTGGACTTACCTCACAGTGCATTAAAGGAAATTCCAGACAGCATAGGGGAATTGGAATATTTGGTCTGTTTAATTGCAAATAATAATGACATCAGCCAGCTCTTCAAATCTATTACATCACTAAGAAATTATGTGAACCTGCTATGAAGACAGGCTGAGAGAGTTGGGGCTGTTCAGCCTGGAGAAGAGAAGGCTCCGGGGTGATCTTGTTGCAGCCTTCCAGTACTTAAAGGGGGCCTACAGGAAAGCTGGAGAGGGACTTTTTACAAGGGTGTGTAGTGATAGGACAAGGGGCAATGGATGTAAATTGAAAGAGGGCAGATTTAGATTAGATATAAGAAAGAAATTTTTCACTCAGAGGGTGGTGAGGCAGTGGAACAGGTTGCCCAGAGAAGTTGTGGATGCCCCATCCCTGGGAGTGTTCAAGGCCAGGTTGGATGAGGCTTTGGGCAACCTGGTGTAGTGGAGGGTTTCCTTGCCCATGGCAAGGCGGTTGGAACTAGATGATCTTTGAGGTCCCTTCCAACTCTAGCCATTCTATGATTCTATGAAATTTACAGCAGCTTGACCTGAGTGGTGAGTATCAGGCATTCAATCCATTAGTAAAATGAAAGCATTGAACTATGCCCCTGGAGCATAAATACATCACAGGATAAGAGGATGGTGAAGCACACGAGTGAGAAAAAGACTGCCAGTTTTTAATGTATACTGCTGTGATTTGCCATGGCGTCTAACCAAGCATCCTCTCTTAAATTTACTGGGTTTAATACAGCTGTTGTAGGGGCCCCATCTGTGAACTCTTTTTAAGTGGCATGATTTTTGCCAGTGTGACCAGTGAGCAAATAAAGGCCTGACACACACAAAGCATCAGTCACTACAGCATGTGGTGGGCAGGATCCTGTCATTTACAAGACCTTTTCCTGCTGCACAGAATGCATGTCAGTGTTCTCAGTTGTCCAAGTAACATTCCTGGTATAATATAGCCTGTTGTTTGTAATCTGGTGTGAGAAGTAAGGAAGGGGTTAAAAATTTTGCTTTTGCCTAGAGTTGACTAAAAAGACATGACAAGGACACTTACGGTTAAAAAATATATACATAATCTCCAAGAGCGGTGGCAAGTACATTGTAAATCTTTGAGCGCGGTAAACTCCCTACCCCAGATAAAAAACTGATGGACTGACGCCACCTGAAACCAGAGGAGGGGTAAGTTCATGCTGATGAAGACTCCTGACCTCATCCACACCGACCCCCAAGACGACCACCAGGACCAACTGCGCACGATCGGTGGGAGTGGGGGGTAAGGCGAACTTATGTAAATAACTTCCCAGGACTAATTGTAATATCTCCTCCCTGTCCTCAAAATCATAATGAATATGTAATAGCATTTATGAGTATGTAACAGATTATAGTATAAATCACCCACTGACAATGGTGTTGGCGCGCCTCTGGCCACGGTCATGAGCCCAGCGCTGTGATCTTTGCTCCACTGACTTTGTCCTTGAATAAAATACGTGAAAACTGTTTTATGTGGGCTCGTTTCTCACATCCGGCATGGATTACCATGGGTGAGTTGTCCCAGATGGGTTGTCCCAAATGGATTCTCTGGTGTGGGTTATCCAGGATGGGTTAGCTTGCATGGGTTATTCAGGGTGGGTCACCCCTCACAGGTTTTCTGGTATGGGTTATCCTAGGTGGGTCATTCTGGTCTAAGTTCTGCCAGGTGGGTTACCCTGTGTGGATCATCCTGGTGTGGGTTATCCGGCTTGAATTATCCAAAGTGGGTTGCCTGGTGTGGGTCAGTTAGACAGTGTGGGCCATCCCAGGTGGATTACCTGGTGTGGATTATCCTAGGTGGATTACCTGGTGTGGGTTACCCCAGACAGGCCCCTTGGTGCAGGTCATCCCCACATATGATCCTCCACGCGTGCCCCCTGACTTGTTTCTCCAAATGCGTGTTTCACACCCACACACCCCAACGTGACTTCACACAAGCTTCTCTCCATGAATGCTTACCCCACACAAATTCAAACTCACACGTTCCTCCCGTGTCAGCTCAACGCATGAGTTCATACCCACCTGCATTTACCCCTCACATAATGTCACACCCTCACGTTTCTCCACGAGTTTACCCCCCGTCAAGTTCATTCCCACGCATTTAGCCCGAGTCCCTTCCCTCGCATTTATCCACACAAGCTTCATTCCCGTGCGTGTTTCGTTGACCTGCATTTTCACCCCAACGCATGTTTATCCCCCGGGGGCTG